TTCCCTGTGATTGCTCTATTCCCTTTACTGCTACCTGGGTCACAAATAACCTGAGAAGAATAAACACGAAAAGGTGTTTCGGGAAAAATGTGTTATGGATACAAACCCCTCAAGATTTTCACTGCTGCTGAACTGGGCACCTGACAAAATGTAACCTCAGTTTCTGAGAACCAAGTGCCCCAGCTTTCTGGAACAGCTTTGTGGATTGTCATGGTTAAAACATAGAAGTAAAGTTAAGGGCAGCTTTTTAGTGTGACCAAGACCTGGTTCATCCTTTGGGGTGGGTGGGTGGATGGTTAGGCAGAGCTTCAACCAAGTGTCTAATCTCCTAATTTCACCTAATTTGTAATTATTTATTTTTTATCGTTTCTCTTTTCCTTTTTTCCTTTGTGTGTCTGGGGTTGGGGAGGGGTCAAGCTCAGGCAGTCACACCAAGATGCTTCTCAGCACATGGATGGTTCACAAGGAGAAGCAAATGAGCCTTCTGAGTGTTAATAATGTCAAAAGGGAAAAATCTCTGCTCCTGCCTCTGCTCTCCTGGCCCTGCACAGTCCTGAGCTCTCACATCAGCTCTGGCACTCACTGAAAGCTCCCCCAGAAGAAAATAATCTGTATTTTTCTGCTCTATTGGTTCCTGCAGGACTGTTGGGTTTTATCAGCTCATGGAGGAATGAAGCACCAGAGGAGAAAAATGGAAAGTGGGGGGAATATAAAGGAGGAACTGAGAGGAAAATCCCTCTCCAGGGACACAAAGCCACTGCTCCACAGCACATGGGATGCTGTGTCCTGCTGGGATGCTCCAAATCTCCCCTAAACAACCAACCAAAGGCAGCTGCTGGATTTTAGGAGCTCGATTGCACCTCACTTGTGCCCCTCTGAGCACTGCAGCACTCCAGGAAAACCCTCAGTTCCTCCAGGAAAACAGACCAGCCTGTATTTGCTTGTGATGGGTGACCTGGCAAAGGGGATCTGCTCCCAGTTTGCCCAGTCAGAGCCCACCTCTGGCACTGGGCCGAGCAGGCACAGCCCAGCACCCACTGCAGCTTCTGAAAGGACATGGACAGCCCAACACCCCCCTCGTGCCACCAGAAATGAGGTATTTGCAACAACCCCCCGTTTCCTTGGATCACGGGGAAGTCTGGATATTCAGGCTGGATATTCCCTCACCCAGGGAGGGGAGAGGAGCAGAAAGCAGAGCCGTTCTGGGAGGGTGTTAATTATTAACCAAGAACAAGAGCACTGGCAGGGTTTGATGAGCTCACACGAGGAGGACACGCTGTACAGCACCACGGTCCCGTGGAAGCTGAATTATGGACTCAACATGCTTTTAATTACAGCTTTAGCCAGGTACTCAGGGTTCTGGCACAGCAACTGCGGCCTGAGATTGGGGGTTATTTTTATGATATGTTTTCACCAACACTTCCCCATCTCCCTGTCACTTCCCTGCCTTTGCTTTGATTACAGGGCCACAGAATCACGGAATCACTGAGGCTGGAAAAGAGCTTTAAGATCACTGAGTTCAACTGTCAGTCAGCACCACCCCCATGGTCACCACTGAACCACAGCCTCAAGTGTCACATCCACAGATCTTTTCACCCTCCCAGGGGTGCTGACTCCACCACTTCCATGGGCAGCCTGTTCCAAGACTTTCCAACCTTTTCCATGAAAACATTTTTCCTAATATCTGATCTAAACCTCCCAGGTACAACTTGAGGCCATTGGCTCTCGCCCTGCCCTATAATTCCAGAAGAATCAGCAGAGGGGAGAGGTTGTTTGCTCTTTATTTCAAAATGGGTATCATCTCTTCTTTGACATTTTGTGAGCAGATGACACTGGGGATCTCAACCAGGTCCATCTCCCTCCACTGCTCAAAGAAAACCAGGAGCTCAGCCCAGTTATTTGAGGTTTCTGTTGGGTGTTGACATGGGCTCACAACTAACCACAGAAAGGCAGAAAATTTCTTTCAGATTTATGGCAAAGCTCTCTACAGCCCGGTGTTATTAGGAAGCTCGAATACTTCTTCTCATTTCAGATTTAGGCCAGGTTGGACAGAGCTTGGAGCACCCTGGGCTAGTGGAAGGTGTCCTGCCCATGGCAGGGGGTGGAAGGAGATGAGCTTTAAGGTCCCTTCCAAGCCAAACAGTTCTGTGATTCTGGGATTAATTAAACTGCCATAATCTGTGATGGCAACTGCACATCTGCTTCAGAAAGCTGTAGCTTCCTCTTTGCCCACTGAGAAACAAATATACAGGGGAAAACAGCTCAAAAATAACAGCAATGGAAAACAGGAGCTGGACTCAATGGTCCCTGTGGGTCCCTTCCAGCTGAAGGTGTTTTATGATTCCAGCAGGGTTTCAGTGCAAGGGGACAGTAATGAAGATCACCCAGGAGCTTAGGGAAGTGGGGAGCTGACCTCAGCTTTGCAGTTGTTTCCTGGGGGTGTCTCATCCCCTGGTTCTCCCTGCTGTTCCCTCTCTGGAATGTGTGGAGGAGGAGAGCAGAGTATTCCCCCAGGATCCAGCACAGTGACATTAAAGGCTGAGGTGCACAGATCATGAAAATAAGAAGCAGCTGAGTTCACCCTGTTCATGGGCTATTTGTAGAATCCCTAACCCCAAATCAGCTTGGGTTTATTGCAACAGGAATGTGGGGCATTGCCAAGAGTCTCTGCTGCTGACACTTCCACTGGGATGTGGATGGTTCCATGGCCTGGAGTGAAACTGGACCCTGTGGAAGTCAACATGCCAATGACCCTTTCTCTGTGCAGAAATCTCTGTAAAGAAAAACCTCCAGCAGAAATTCATCTTTTATGGTGCTGTCTGGGGCTTTTGGCTACAGAATATGGAGCCACAGGACACACATTAACAGGGTTAGAGTGGGAAAATATACAAGAGAAAATAGATTAAAAATGAGGAGCACTGAAAGATAAAAAGGAAAAGGTGTTGTTTGTCATGCACTAGAACTGTCTCTGCAGTATCCAAGTGGCTGATCTTCTCAGGCACAGGGTGTGACTCTTGGGGATGGTCCCATGCAGGAGGGAGGAGTTGGACTGGATGATCCTTGGGGGTCCCTTCCAACTGAGCACATTCTGGGATTCTGTCACACAGTCACAACAGCCTCTGTCTTCAGAGGGTCCTTCCATCTTCCTGGTGCCTTTTCATCACCATTTCATTCAGATATAGAATCACAGCATGGTTTGGGCTGGAAGGGACCTCAAAGCTCATCTCATCCCACCCCCTGCCATGGGCAGGGACACCTTCCACCAGCCCAGGTTGCTCCAAGCCCCGTCCAACCTGGCCTTGGACACTTCCAGGGATGGGGCAGCCACAGCTTCTCTGGGCAACCTGTGCCAGGGCCTCCCCACCCTCCCAGGGAAGGGTTTTTTGTACCCACTTTCCTTCCCTGCCCAGTAGCTCCAGGCCCACCAGGAGCCTGCTGAGCCCTGTGCTCACACCTGAGCTGGGCTCTTTATTCCCTTCAGCCTCTCCCCAGGAATTATTCCAGGCAAAGCCATCAAACCACTTTGCCAAAAACAGAAATTAAAAGCTTCCCTCCATGAAGAAGAAATTCCCCCCATCACCACTAACAAAGGCAGAGCTGGTGCCCAGAGCTGCATTTTTAAGAGAAGATTCCTATTTATCTAATATTCATATTTTGCCCTGAGCAACAAGAGGCTTTCAGGAGAGTCAGACACCAAACATGTTTGAATCCAGCAGGAAGGAACAGGACCCTGCAGGCTCCTGGGTTTGTTTTAAATCCCATGGATCATCCCAGTCACCGTGGGCTGACCCCGGTGTGACAGAAGGAAGAGGAGGTACCTAAAGAACTGGTGTGGGTGCTCCCTTTCAATCATAAATCAGACAAGAAATCTCCTTCTCAAAACAAAAGGATGTTCCATGAATGGCTTTGATCAGTTATTGCTCAGGACAATTATTGCTGGATGTAGCAACAGCAAAGAGCAGGACACACCCACAGACCTTCAACACAGTTGCAGTGCTGCCTCTCTGCTCCTGCCACAGCTTTGAGGATGAAAATAATTACAAAAATAACACAATTTTGCATTAATAGGTTCTTTGGAAAAGACTTTTCCTTCTCTGGTAGATTTAAAAAGGAAGAGCAAAGGTGGAGCACTGAAAGGCTTTTACCACACAGCAGCAACAACTCTTTTTTCTTCTCCTGCTGCCAAGAGCCAGAAAGGAAATCTAGATCTTTATACATCTGTAGAGTCTCAATCACCTGCTTGATCTGAGAAGAAATGCTGTGCAAAATGAGAGCCTGCAAACCACTGAGATGAGCTGGGTTGTTAATTCCAGATCAAATTTCCCCACATGCTGGGGACGTTCCAGCTCAGCTGCAGACTTGGCAGCTCCATTTCTGCAATGGTCCAAACCCAAAACTCAGATGCAACAACACCAAAACCTTGGCTGACCCCTGGGGTTCAAACATCAGGACACCAGTGGGTCCCCAAAATCCAGACATTGGTTTAAACAGGGAGAGATTTAACAAACAAAACCAAAAAACCACAAAACATCAACACCAAAAAACCAAATGACCAAAAAACACCTGAGATCTTTTAACTGCCTTTAGTTTGAGCTTCCCCTTCCCCCGTGCTGCAGTTACACCAAGTGCATTATCCACACTTCCATGTCCAGTTCCAGCATTATCCTGGCACAGGGGGTTCCTGGTGGGGGTTCAGGGTGACACAGGAGTGTTGGCTGCACAGGCCCAGGTTAGTGGAATTCCAGGGAGTCCACTTAACACTTGGGTCTGGATTCAGAATCATCTCAATTAGTGATTATTCACCAGCTCATCCCCACCCTAAAGATCTACAGTCTTATAGAAATATCCCACTGCAAGCAAGGTAGGAAAAGTGGGAAGAGGGATAATGCACAGTGGGATGTAGCACCCAGCTCTCCCAATTACATCTTCCCACTAAAGCCAACACATCTTCCCTTTTCACACCCAGGTGGGGACAAACAAGTCATCGGTGTCCTTCTTACCCCGATAAGACGCCCAGTACCAAGTTGAGCATGAAGAAAGAGCCAATGATGATGAGAGGGATGAAGTAAAGCCAATTCCAGGTATTTCCTGCAGCGTCGTTTGTCTGGAAACAAAGAGAAAGGGAGAGACAAAACCAAATATTAATTCACCTCAGAAACAAAACACCACACGGAACCTGCAGGGCAGAGGGCAGGAAAGAGTCCCCTTGGATTTCCTGGGCTCATCCACCGCTGGTGGTTGGTTCTGGTGTGTTCACCAGCTCAAATGCCAGCGAAAGAACTGAGGAACCAAGTGATTGTCCCACCACCCACAACACGATTTGTCATCAGCTCCCGGGAGAAGATTCATCCGATGCGTCTGGACGTGACCTGGATGAGGGGATCGAGTGCCCCCTCAGTCAGCTGGCAGATGACACCAGGTTGGGTGGGATGTGGGTGTGCTGGAGGGCAGAAGGGCTCTGCAGAGGGGTCTGGACAGGCTGGATCCATGGCTGAGGCCAGCGGGGTGAGGGTCAACAGGGCCAAGTGCCAGGTCCTGCCCTTGGGTCACAATGACAATATGGAACACTCCAGGCCGAGGCAGGGTGGTTGGGAAGTTGGAAAAGGCCCTGGGGGTGCTGGTGAGAGCCACTGAACGTGAGCCCAGGTGTGCCCAGGTGGGCAAGAGCCCAATGGCCCCTGGACTGTGCCAGCAATAGTGTGGGCACAGGACCAGGGCAGTGCCCGTCCCACTGGTGAGGGCACTGCTGGGGCACCTCCAATCCTGGGTTCAGTTTTGAGTCCCTCAGAACAAGAAAGACATTGAGAGGCTCCTTCCAGGGAAGGGAACGGAGCTGGGAAGGGGCTGGAGCAGCAGGAGCAGCTGAAGGAGCTGGGGGGGCTCAGCCTGGAGAAAAGGAGGCTCAGGGGGGACCTTCTGGCTCTGCAACCCCCTGACAGGAGGGGGGAGCTGGGGGGGGTCGGGCTCTGCTCCCCAGTAACAGGCAATAAAACAAGAGCAAATGGCCTCAAGCTGCACCAGGGGAGGTTGAGGTTGGACATCAGGAGGAATTTCTTCCTGGAAATGCTTGTCCAGCCCTGGCCCAGCTGCCCAGGGCAGCGGTGGAGGCACCATCCCTGAAGGGATTTAAAACATGCCACAGGTAGCTGTGGCCTTTGGGGAGAGGGTTTAGTGGTGGCCTGGGCAGTGCTGGGGGATGGTGGGACTCCATGACCTTAAAGGCCTTTTCCACCCTAAGTGATTCCACGGTTCTGTGAGTTCCACAGCTCCGGGCTGACCCCACAGTGGGGCCAAGAGGCGTTTTGAGGTGACCTGACTCTGGGCAGGCTTTTCCAGCAGCCTCTTCTCTCCCCACCTCAACCCTTCCCGTCAGCATCCTGTTTCCAGGTGAACTGAGGAGGCACCGGGAGGGAACCACGGCCCCCCCTTCGGCTGGGCTGCAATTAAGGCCAGGGTGGCACCGTGCCCAGAATGGGCACGCACAGACAAGGAGGCTGCAAGAAAACCAGGCGTCTTCCCAGGGATTGCAGCTCCACAGCTGCTCACTCAGCACTTTCCTGTCGCCAAACTCCATCCTCACTCCCTGAGTAAGCACCGGAGGGGAGGGAGGGGAGGGAGGGGTTTTAGGGTGTGACAAAGTTCCCGCATTCATCGAGCACCAGGGAGCTCTTCAGGGAACTGCTGAGAAGGAAAATGCCACGTGGGCATTTAGTGAGCGCTCAGGAAAATGCAAATTCCTCTCTTGTGAGTAAAGAATGCGGCAATTGGAGGGTCTGGTGTAAAGGAAGGGAATAAAAGACAAGCAAAAAGGAAAGGAAAGGGCCAAAAAAGGGAAAAGGGAAGTAAAAACCCAAAAGGGAAAGGAAAAAGGAAAGTGAAGGGGGAAAGGGAAAAAAGGGGGAAAGGGGAAAAAAGGGGGAAAGGGGAAAAAAGGGGGAAAGGGGAAAAAAGGGGGAAAGAGAAAAAAAGGGGGAAAGGGGATAAAAAGAAAAAAGGGGAAAAGGAAATAAAGGGGGAGGAAGGGATAAAAAGGAAAGACCCAAAGAAAGGAAAAGGAAAAAGGAAAATAAAAACCCAAAGGAAAAAGTAAAAAGGAAAGTAAAAAC